TGTCTATTTTGCTGTTGTCATTGAGATGAAGGTGGCGCAGTATTTTGTAGNACAAACGTGTATCCGCACTGTGTTGTGGTTGGATACGAGTTAACTAGATTGCTAACGCGTCAACTCAGGACTCAGGTTCTAAGAGTCAGCACAGTAATGAATATTCATTCATAGATCACAATTCAATCAGACATGAATTACAGAACTAAAGAAGGCAACATGGCTTTAGATGTGCCATCGGTGCCTTCAAGTTCTCAAGTTCTAATGAATGACTGGACTGGTTGCGGCAAGTAGGGCATGAACTGTACGTCAACAGTACGATCCTGCATGCCAATGTTGGGACTACATTACCAACATCCGTTGCTGGAAATGAGGTTGCTGATCGGACTGCAAACCTAGCACACGGTGCTGACAGGTCCTCCTGGCCCTGCTCTATACTCTCTTTTGAGGAGTCTCTTCGAGTGTTAACACTGGCCTAAGTGGCCTTCACCCTTCAGCAGACATTGGCATGGATACTGGCAAACACAAATAGCTAACTCTGGTTGTGGTCAATTTAGATACAACCTTGATGATAGCATTACCTACATTGATTGCAGCTCCTTGCCTAAACCACTACAATGTGCTATACTATAGCTCGGCTACGCATTGGACATGCCGGTGTTTTCGGTGTAGGTGCTCACCATGCAAAATTTGGGATGGCAGCAACTGGATTTTGCTCAGTGTGCCACGTGGGAGACACAAAAGATCATTTCATATTAAGCTGTACTAAGTTCACTGGCCCAAGAGCACTATTCATGAGTGCGGTGACTGCACTGGGACTTCCTTGGGGTCTGCAAGCTGCCCTGGGTGCGGCGTGCGGGTGTCACCAGCAAGCAGCATCATCAAATTTTCTCATACCTGCGGCAATACTTGCAGCGATGTGGAGTGGTTGCTCAGATGTAACTTGTAATCAATAATTGAATAGGCCCTCACTATTGCCTGATCCCTGATAATGCTGATATTAAGTCAAACCTTGTTTGTTTTATTTATTTAGTATTATTATTATTATTTTATTTTATTTTTTTTTTCACTGACCCCAATCTTGCATGTCTACATATCTTCTATTGGTTGGTCTAGTTTTGCATGCAGCACCATGATGTCATGATGCTACTCTCATACTCTGTATATATTTTTTTATTTTACCTATTATTATTATTTTTTCTACATTCTGAAGCATGTGACAAGTGTCCGGTACTAGTTGATGACACTTTCCTGCCTGGAGTGCTCTGGCTTGTGGCTGGGCCCAAGCTTTCTCCTGTTGCCCCAACTAATGACTGAGATCAGGCTGGGCAGTGCATTAGCACTCAAAGCCTTCAAATTCAAATCATCATCATCATTACCGACATCCTCCCGGCCGGCGAAATCAACACGATCAATACCTAATAACAATGCGCGTAAATGGACTATACAAATTAGGTCAATATGGCATAATTACAGAGTGTAATTATACTATGTGATACAAAATATGAATATATATATTTGCAAGATAAGTCAATGGTCTGTCGTTTATTTTTGCTTGTGTACTTTGAATGTGCACTTTGTGTACTTATTTTGTGTACCGTAAACTGGGGTAACTTTGACCACTTTTTTTTCAAAACTATGCCATTTTTTTAATAGATAAGTTAAACTTAAATTGAAACATGCAAAATACAGGTCTATACTCTAGCTTTACTCACCATCAATTGCTGGCTCCTGCCTCTCATAGTTTTGATGTAATTAAAAAAAAAAACGCTGGTCTTTTTTACCCCAGCTCTGGGGGTATCTTTGACCGGGTGGTAAAATCAATTTTATTTTTTGGTAAAATAACTCCAAATAACTCCATGCATTGTAGTAAAACTCTTCTAGTTACATATGCAAAAGACAAATTTTAGGAAAGTGTCATAGTTTGCAAATGGGGGTGCTGCCCCCCAATGGGCGAAATGTGACCACCTAATGGCAGCCATGACGGGGTAACATTGACCGGTTTGGAAATTAAGCTAAAATTACCATATATAAGACTCTGTAGAGTCTGAAACATAAAGAAAAAAACATTAATAGGTGTATCAAACATAAAATATGTTATATAGGTACCTATGGTAATTTTAACTTAATTTCCAAGCTGGTCAATGTTACCCCATCACGGCTGCCATTAGGTGGTCAAAGTTACCCCATTGGTTGTGGCACCCCCCATTTGCAAACTATGACACTTTCCTAAAATTTGTCTTTTGCATATGTAACTAGAAGAGTTCTACTACAATGCATCAAAACCTGGAGTTATTTTACCAAAAAATAAAAAAATTGGAGGGGGTACTCCGACAGGCTTTAAATAATAGCTCTTTTTCGTGGGTCACATTATTAGTTTTTTAACCTATTAGATATGCAAACTTTTTTAATCTTTCTATTGTGTTATGTAGCCTCAGTATTAGGCCTTTGATGGCCATTGACAAAATTTTTCTATGTCAAATCATTTTTGAGTTTTGGGGGTTTTTGTTAAAAAAATGAAAAGTGGTCAAAGTTACCCTGCCAGTCAAAGTAAACCCATTTTACAGTAGGTACTTCTGATGATCAAATCTTGAATTGTTAGGCAGCACAAGCATACATACCAAATTTCAAGTTTCTAGGATCTTCAGAAGTGCACTAAATTAAGGTTTGAATTTTTGATGACAGACAGACACGAAGCAAAACTAAGAAAAACGTGGTGAAAAGACTTTGCTTTGACACTATAGGTTGGACTGTTGGGGTTAGTAAATCAGTTTCAACTGTGAGAGTTGAAGTACCACAAGGTACTGTCTTTTTACCAACACCCTTCAATGTGATGCTGCATAATCTCCACTCAAACTTGTGTGAAGCTGGTTGGTTATGCTGACAATATAACACTTATTGTAAATGAGCTGTCTGTAATTGATTTGAAACTCATGGCTACATGAACACGTATCTTGACAAAATTGGTGGGTGGTGCAGTTGAAACTGCAACTGGCTGACAGTTAAATTTTAACCCAGCAAAGTGTTCTAACCACTACCAGGTCTTCATACCTCATTGCCCAGCTCCATATGTATCACTTTGAGTCTGCAACAGGAATATTCATCATGTGGTTTGCACTTTGTCATAAAGTGCTTGGATTTTATTTTGATTCACCTCATCTCACCTTCAAAAAATGTGTTGGGCAAACTTGCATAGCTTGCCTCAAAAGGTTACATGTGCTTTGAGCGTTGAGTTCAGTAAAGTGGGGAGCCTCATAACAGCTACTTTGTAGAATATATGTGCATTCATACAGAGCAAGATAGAGTACGGCTCCACAATTTTGGGACAATCTCACAATCTTTTTTAAACCAGCTTGAACATAGCAAAATTCAGCACCCAGATATATTCTGGATGCTTGTCACATCACGCTTGTGTTATCTTTATAATCTTTGTAAGCCAAAAGTTTTATTCTACTAATGCAACTCTGATTTCTTTTATCTATTTATAAAGTGGGTTCCGAGGTATATGTACGGTACATGCCTGCAAAGAACCAAGTGGCATGTATGTTGGGATTCATGGATCAGTGGATCCTCTTGGATATGCCATTTATTATGGAAGCACATCAGAGCTTTCAGAAGTTGAAACTTCTGCCTCTTCAGCAAGTTTCAATTCATTTAACATTCACATTTCTACCCCATGTTGATCTTTCCTCCAGCATTTAGTTGGAATTACTGAGCTCACAACAGTTAATTCAATGCATCCTGAAGTAGCTCAGAATTGCTTTATAGACTTTTAGAAACAGTACAATCCAAAATATTGACAGATCTACACTGACAACTCTCGTTCATCTGCTAGGTCTGTCTCTGCTGGCCTGTATTTGCCATCTATTTGCATGGCCACTGGATGGCTGCTAAATCCAAAACACACAGTGCTTGGGCTTGAACTGTTTGCTATATTGTACAAGGCTATGCAGCTTGCCACTTCTGATATTGCTCTGCAGATTAGGTCTGTTTTGATCCTCACTGATTCATGAGCAGCACTACAGCTTCTTTCTTCCTCATCTGGTGGATCCTACTGTTCAATTGTTTGTAGTTCGATTTCAGAAACTGATGGAAATAGAAGTGCTTGACAGAGTGGTGAGGTGCTGGGCACATGGCCATAGCAACATCAGTTGGAACAAAGTGGCTGACAAATTGACAAATCTTGCACACTCCAATGATCATTCTGCTAGATCCTGTTTGTGCTTCAAGGAGTGGCTCTCTTTATATAAGTCCATTTTCTATACTTTGCTCTCTGATGGTCAGGGGAAGTACAGTCTTCAGGGATGGGAATTTTCAGGCTGAACTTAGAAGCCACTGTAGATTATGTGAATTATGGATTACTACCTTGTTCAATTTAGTGTGCTGTGGCTTGCCTGCAACTTGGCCATGCTGGAGTGAGGCTCACTTGGCTCGTTTCAATTTGACTAATTTCTGTATATGCCCATCATGCAACACACACAGTACACAATCATTTCATCTTGCACTGCTCTCTATACACCAATCAAAGGAGAGAGTTTTGCTCAGCATTGGGGGATCTTATTACTTCCTAGGAACCTCATGTCAGCTCTTGGTGGGGGAGATAGGTATTCCTCAGGGAAGACATACTGCAGTAATTTGTTAGTTGGGAAAATACCCACTGAACTGCAGCATGGTGAACACCCTATGAAGATGTCCAGTTACTAATTTTTTTAAACTTATCTCTTGAACGGATTTAGCACAACTCCTTAGTTGTCATCTGCATTCCAGATCATTGATAATAGATATCATCATAAGATATGATTTTATTTTGTATGATCAAAAAATGGACCATGTGCTTATAATGAAAACAATCAAACTAATTATTATTGTCAATAGGATTGCTTAATGCTTAGGGGTGAAGCAATCAGTTTTTTTCTAGACTCATGAATTTGTTTAATATTCAAATTTTATGTATTAAATGTAAATTTTGATGTAAATCATCCTCAGTAAATTTGATGTATCAAATTTGAATATATATCTATTTAAATAGTGAATTGACAATACCATATATTAACATGGTTCTTATGTGTCCACCTTTTTAGTACAATGCCTGATTATTCTAGTATGGTAATATACTTGAAATTTATAAATAATATTGCTTGGTTGACCATATCTACCAGTCTGTGTAATGTATTTTAGTTCAAAAAGTTTTCTTTTCTCTCACTAGTATTTCAAATTCAAGATGGAAGTAATTATTGCAAATGTTGATGATGTCATTTTTGACATTGAAAGACAACTTGAGGAACAAACAGGTGCTCAGCTGCTACCTTTTCCTGGCATGGATAGTAAGTGTTGTTTATTGCTGATGGTTTACATTTTGAATAATTATTTATATTATCAATTTAATATAATAATTCAAATCTCCTCTTGTTTTCATGAATTCAGATAGAAATTGAATTGGAAAAAAAATTCTGAAGAAATATTTCATGCTCATTGAATTAATTAATTATTTTTAATTTATTTTTCAGAGTCAACATACTCAGTATGTTCATTTCACACTAGAGGAGCTTGTGCTAAAGGAGCGTCATGCCCATTCCGTCATGTAAGAGGTGACCGCACAGTTGTGTGCAAGCACTGGCTGCGGGGTCTCTGCAAGAAAGGAGATCAGTGTGAATTCTTGCATGAATATGACATGACCAAGATGCCCGAGTGTTACTTCTACTCACGCTTCAGTAAGTTTTTTATTTACTTTTATATTTATATTTTAATTTCACAATTTTACTTGTTTTTATAGTTTATTGTTTGATAAAAAGAAATAAGTAATTTGATTATACAGTCCATTCTCGACCTACATATACTGTATGTATACTAAAATATTGTTTTGCGAGCCAAGTACTTACTGTACCAAGTATACAGTGACATATCAACCAAAAAAATTTTTAATGTTTTTTAAATAGGTGCTGTCTAAGTTTTCAAAGCACTAAAGAGGTTAATGCTTTAAAGAGATTTTTGTAATTGCAGATGCGTGCCACAACAAGGAATGCCCGTTCTTGCATATCAGTCCTGATTCCCGCATGAAAGATTGCCCATGGTATGATAGAGGCTTCTGTCGTCTTGGTCCTCTATGTCGCAACCGCCATGTTAGACGAGTTCTCTGCATGAACTACTTTGCTGGTTTCTGTCCAGAAGGACCCGAATGCAAACATATGCAGTACGTATGCCCTAACATTAATGTGTTTTATTTCTCTGTGCAGCAGATAAATATTGGATGGTTAAAGCAGGAATAGACTTCTCATGCTTTGTGATATTTGCTGTAATTTTGTCTGGCAATAAATTCCACATTGATCAGGTTATACTTCTTATACTGTAGCACAGTTGTCTTTAATTGTTATGCGATGCATGCTAGATTTTTAATTTGGAGTTAATGGATGCATTACTTTGGTATTGACATATATTGACTGCCATCATCTATTTCAGTCCCCGCTTTGAGTTGCCAAAGCCACAAGAAGACAAGAACACCACGCAGCGCAGCAGCTCTGCTCTCACTTGCAACTTCTGTGGCGAGACGGGCCATCGAGCTAGCCATTGTTTCAAGGCAAATCCTCAGCTCAAAGAGTCCTACAACGTGAGTAGAGCATTACTTTTTCTATTGCAACTTTGTTCTGCATAAGGCATGATCACCACAGTGTTTGTTTGAATGAATTCAATGCATTCAGAAGCTCTACTGACCGCCACTTCTGATATTTTGTCTGTGCATTGCAATAATTGAAACGTTTTTCAATAATTTCTAAAGGTCTTACTAGAATTTACAACTTTGACGTTTTTTCTCTGCAACAGATGAACAGCGCCCTTCGCAATCGTAATTATCTGAGCTCATACTCGCAGAGAGTGGAGAAGATAGTCTGCTACAAGGTATGGTCAATAGCCATCAGAACATGAAACAAAATGCATCATAATCTTTAAAATTCTTGAGCTCTGTACTGGAAATTGTCCGATCGTGATTAGCGAGACAATTGTTTTGCAATTGAAACAATCCAAATTTACATTATGCTACATAAATTTTCTACTGTTTGCAGTGCGGTCAACAAGGTCACTTTGCCAACCGCTGCTCAAAGGGAGACTTCGCATTCCTGAACGCAGCTCCCCCCAACTCCTGAGACGGCCACGGTCGAATTGGCGCCTGTGTCGACTTGCATGTGCTGCTGCAAAGTTGTGTTCATATTTTTTCGTATATTGCTCATTATGAATAAAATAAGTCATAATTGTTTACACCTTAGTTGTAATGAACGTTGCTATACGTATTTCTTTGTGTGATTTGTTAACAATGTTTGCTTGAGTATTTTTGTTTTTAAATCAATAAATTCTGTGCTTTCAAGCCTTAAATAGAACATTTTGGCTATTGTTCAATAACATGATATGTATAGAATACTTTCATATTCCAATGCAGGTCACTCAAATTCGTCAACTGTATCCACTCGTTCAAAAGCTTCTTACTTTCACTGCTACATTTCTGCAGTGTCTCAGTATGTTAGCTCAGGAAAGTGACGTTTACCCTGCACGTTAAAATGTTTATACTATTTAAAGTGGATGTGATAGTAAATCAATACTAATTGTAGGCTACTTAGTTCCCAGGCAAGGACTAAGAAACCGTTTATTATTTTTCTCGTTTTCTGCTGCATATTTGTACATAGTTTAAAAAATCATGATGTCTAAAAATTGTCATCTCAAAATGTAGTTTGATTTTGATTAAAACAATTATTTTCTGAATTGAACTTTATCAAAACCAGTTGAATCGTTCGGAATATCCTCTTTTTGCGTTCGGATAATGTGATCGATGTATTTGAGCTAATTAATTAAGAAATTCGAATTGAGCTGTGCACGAGTACTCTGAGATAGGAGACGTTAGATCCACTTGACTTGCTGGGATTGAGAGCAACCGGAGTTCAAAGTGACTTGACTTGAGTACCTCTTCTTCTTGCATTCCTTTCCGTTCTTCGTTTGTTGCGCTGATTTAATCTTCAATCAGAAACACCATCGTTTGTTCTAGACTTTGAACTAGCGTTCATACTGCAATTAATCTTTTTTCGTTGCTCACTTTCTGTATTGGCTAAGTGCAATAATTAGTGCATTGATATCTCTCATTATCTCCTGAATTTGTTGCAGGTAGAGCACAATTGTCCAGTCTCCATACATGCGTAGTCTGAGCCACAGACCTGTCAATCAGTACGTAACTGAATTATTTACTATGCTCGTTTTGTTCATCGGTGACGAGAACGAGCCTTCTGAAATTACGTATTAATACTGTTGCCGTTTGTTTTAATGAAGATTTAATAGGAAATAATTTATTCAGCCATCGCATGGAATTTCATCAAATTTTCAGTTTTATTTGGCTATAATCCCCGTATTTAGAAGATACTACATTTTGTACGGCACCAACAGCCAGACATGGGCCGAAGGAAATCCAAGGGAATGTCCGTGCGCTCCTCGAAGTGGCAATAAACGTCACTCTACGACATACGTTTTAATGTAAGCTCACTAACTCTAAACGCCAAATGAAGAGTGTTTTATACCTATTTCACACTGTAGGAGTGAATTGAACCGTTGTTCATAAGAAGCTATGTCCAGCACGGGTTGTTTAGAAGCACTGTCCAACTCCAAAACCATATCATGAAAAGCCAAACTGAAGGAAAGCACCCCATTTGTGTATTTTTTGACATGCAGAAGGCTTACGATACAACGTGGCGACACGAAATACTGCAGTTCAGCCATCAAGCCGGGATTAAAGGTAACCTGGCCCCGTATATCCGAGAATTTCTCGCTACCGATCTGTCTGAGTGAGGGTGGGGGCTTCGCTCTCACCTCTATGCGTCCAGAACCTGGGAGTGCCGCAGGGAAGCGCGATTAGCTGCACGCTCATCTTGATGGCTATAAGCTCCCAGCTCCAGCATTCCTCCTAACGTACAGTCCTCTCTATACGTCGACGATTTTATGATCTATGCGTCATCCCACTACCTAACCGCCAAGACTTTCAGACCGCCATAAACCGAGCCAGTCAGTGGACCATGGCCCGCGGCTTTTTCTTTTGAAGCGAGAAAACCGTGGCCATGCACTTGAACGAAACCGCTCTCAGGAATAATACCCTCCATTGTTTTTACATGGCATTCAAATTACCGTATCCCCCGTAGCTAAATTCCTTGGCATGACATGGAACTGCAGGCTCTCTTGGGGGCTCCGCCAGCGGGCTTTGAAGGGCAGCTGCCTCCACAGGATGAACCTCATGAAGAACCTGACCTAACAGTCGTGGAGATCGGACAGGCTGACACTGCTTCACCTCTATAGAGCCATTATTAGAACAAAGATGGACTACGGTTACTTCATATACCAACACGCAATAAAACAAACCCTTTCTTTACTCGACCCGGTCCACAACGCAGGATTGGGACGACCCGGTCCCAATCAGGACATGCACCGGAGCATTTAGAACATCCCCCACTATTAGCCTCTATGCAGCGAGCGGCGAACCCCCACTCTATCTCCGCCGAATACAGCTCACACTACAGATGATAGCCCGCCTCAAGCAATTACCTCAATCCACAACATGGCGCAGCGTTATAACTGAAGACCGACCAAACATTTTCCCGTGCAATATCCCGTCATTCGAAAACTATGAAACACTTCTTGCAACAACACAGGCTCATAAACTAGAAGTCATAACAGTCACGTTTGTGGATGCCCCTGTATACATGGCGCATCCCCATCAACACATTCTGCCCGGACCAAAACTACCCACTAAAGCAAAGGACACACCCTACCGAGATAAGAAATCTCCTTCTCAACCATGCATCTACAAAGCATGCAAATTCTACACATATTTACACTGACGTCTCTAAAGGCCCGTTTACACTAGTGGCAACGACATGCGCTTTGAGTCGTTTGCTGCAGTGCCTCACCGCGCACAACCGTTCACACTACTTTTGTACTCTGTAGTTTAAGATCGCGCGCTTTGAAAGAATTGAAACACCAGTTGCCACCTAGACGTCAATGAGGATGGATGTAACCGAATTTGAGCTGTGGGCCATTGTTCTCGGGTGGCTGCGGTCCGTCATTCTTCGCACTATGCCAGTTGTAAACGAGAATTTAGCATAGGCATCATAATTAGAGAACTAGCACATTAAAAAAGATACAGTTTATAAAAAATATAGTCTATTCTTAAATAAAAAGTTCCAATATTCGTACCGATATTATATCATCCTTTGAAATCGCTAAACAGTAATGCATAAATTGTCAGAAGTTGCTAAAATCACATAAACTAAACACATGTAAAAATAACGTACATCATTTGCATTTCGATTTCTGAACTCCTTTGACCGAATACTCCATAGCCATTCATTTTCTCTATAAAGATCAATTAGGCTCTCTTCTAGAGAGTGACTCCAAACGAGTGGTGTTAGTCGACTTTTGGTGTGCCGGACCAGCGTACACAATCAACCTTACTAGACCACAGACAGCTATCTACTAAGTTACTAACTAAGAATTTAAAAGCAAAGAATAGTCCACAAAAATTCATATCTTTATAGAAAACGTTTCGGAGACCAGCTCCGTCGTCAGTTCGTAGAATCTAGAATCAGAAGTCACAAATTAATACATTGAAACCATAGAACGAATTGAATTTCTGTAATTAATTAATTTAGATTTTTAATTTGATTTAAATTTTTAATTTAATTTAAATTCTTAGTTCATTTGCGATTTAAGCATACAAGTGATATGAATTCTTTAATAGCTATTTACTAAGTGCCGCGCTGGTGTTGCATGAGGCATGGCCCCTGTCAATCGCTACCTCGTCAATCGGTCAAGAAGCGCATGCAGAGGCTGCAAAGCGCCTCTGCATGCGCTTTGAGGCACTTGATTCTCGTGTGTTGCCCCTAGTGTGAACGGGCCTTTAGACGAACAGCGCAGTGGGATGTGCAGCTACGACCGACACAGCAACGGTGTCAAGACGACTCGGTTCAAGCTCAACAATCTGCACCGCTTAGCTCCTCGGTGTCAGCTGTGCCCTTAACCTTATAGATGAATTGCCCAGAAACGACTTCACCATATTTATAGGGTTTATATACTCCAAAAGTGTGGTACAAGCTATAAGAGTTTATAACACAAACACCCCATCGTCAAGGAATTCCTAGCCGGGCTGGTGCGCCTGGCGGGGCAGGGAGAGCGGTAAGCGTCTGCTGGGTGCCCGGACATATGGGGTTGCGAGGCAACGCAAGGGCGGAGAAGGCGGCGGTAAACGCCGCCTCTTCAGACCAAGCGATCCATAGCGAGCAGGTCCCTTGCCGGGATCACTACCCTATCATCATGGCAAGTATCCGCCATATCTGACAAGAACAGTGGCTGAATGTGAGAAGGAACAAACTAAGAACAACTAAGGACTGTGTACAAGCGTGGAGTTCATCATACCAGAAATCCCGGAAGATGGAGGTAGCACTGTGCGGACTGAGGATTGGCCATAATACGCGCCTAACTCACAGCTACCTGGTCAAATGCCGCCCAATGCCGCATTGCAATGATTGTTTGGTACCCATGACGGTCTTGCGTATTATGGCGAAATGCCCGAGCCACAGCGGTACTCGGCAATACTACACTACCCCAAAACTGCTGCTCTCAGTCCAGACGAAATACTGTCTAGGATGCTGAAGGAAGTTCTGCGAAGCATCTTTAGAACTGATAACCTTGGACAATATCTAATCGAGTGTAACCTGCTGCTGGAGATCCAGCACAGCACCATGACATAGCTCAGAAAAGACCCACACCCTTGACAAAACTCCATAGGCGCGCCTCAGAAATAGAGAAGCCGGGTGGATAGCTAGAGGTCAGCATAGCCCAAGTCCGCAGTGCGATTCATATACCTTCCCGAGCGTAACGCAGCCGGGCATCTTCACGGCTTTTGATACAAAGCGCCCACCACAACAGTGCCGTTCAGTCACAGGCAGGAGCGCATACAGGCCGGAGCTCAACTGGCCGGAGCACAACAGACCCTACCGCAACAGCTACTCCTAACGTAACGTAACCTAACCTAACCTGCGCCGCCCGTTGCGGTACGACCTGTTGCGCTCCGGCCAGTTGGGCTCCGGCTCTGTGAAGCAGTGGCTGTGTTGTGCAAAGCGGATTTACTGTTAGCCGGAGTTACCCACAGCTCATTGATCTGAGGCTATGTGTAGCTATTGCATGCTGATGTTTGGCGTTGGGCCCAGGGCCTGCTTACGAGTCAATTTTGTTGCCCACGGCTGCGTTCCCGAGAAGCCTACCCCAAGACCAGATGGATCAGGCAGGGAGCCTAAAAACCAACGAAGAAACCTAACCCTGCAAAACCGAATATTTTACCTTCGGCGCGAAATAGGCGAAGCTGATCTGAAGCGCTAAAAATCTACCCCTACTAATACCTATAAGACACGGTGTCCAGCACAGGTTGATAATAAGATACCATATCCAGCGCATATTTTTTATACGATTTTCGACGAATTTTATTTTTCATCGCAAACAGGCTGCATTTCTCGCGCGATGTGTCGTGCAGCCTGCATGAAAAGCGAGGCTTGTAAATCAGGCTGCATGTATAACGCGACATAACAAGCAGGCTGCATGTATAACGCTATATACCAAGTAGACTGCATGTATAACGCGATATACCAAGCAGATTGCATGTACAACGCGATATACCAATAAGACTTCATGTATAACGCGATATATTAAGCTGGCTGCATGTACAACGCGAT